ACACATAACCTATTCTATTTCCCTAGAGGCACAATGGATATTTACCGAGGACACAAACTCAAGTGCACTATACCTTAAATACCCGCACTACGGCCACGATGTTGATGGCTGCCCTCAGCCCCGAGGATACGGGCTTGCGGCCCTGTTCCTAATACACTCCCAAGACACACTGATGAAATTTAGCTTTTCCAACTTATTGTTGGGAAGAATTACTCCTCCCACCATCTAATACAGCCCCAGGGCTCCACCCATTATTTTGGCAATGGCCAACCATTTAACACGTAGGCCTGAGGTCTGGCTCTCTAGGCCAATAAGGACTTGGCCCTTATCTCAGGCCAATCACCTTCACTGATCTGTCGTGGAAAGCTACATGAATTCCTGAAGATTGAGTCAGCTCTCCCCAGCTACAGAGAAGGGGGACAAGGCGCGTCTATGGAGCCCAGGCACCTGCGAGCAATGTTTACAAAACTGATAATTTATGTTCAAGCCTGTCTCCTCTAAGATAGGAGTAGGGACATTTGACTCTGCCTGGTATGGGGAAGGCCGCTGCTGAGAGGGACAGAGAGGGATGAGAGGGGTGGAGAGGGAAATATCTGAGTGGGGAAGTTGAGTGGGAGAAGCCAAGGTATCCACGACCACCCTACCCTCAGGTCAACCTCTTGACCCTGACAAATGGGCGACAGGGGGGGGGGAAGAGAGGAGACGAATGACGGCCAAGGGGAGGGGAGAAGGAAGGAGGGGAGAGGGAGAAGGAAAGGAGGGGAGAAGGAGAGGGAAAAGAGGGGAGAAGGGAGAACCAATGATCTGAGCCCCAGATCATTACAACAGAGGGAAGGGGGGAGCAATATGGAAGAGGAGTGGGTGGGAGTGAGTCAGCCCGGGAAGGTAACAGGCAGGGAACAAGAACCAGGCACGGGTTTCGTCAGTGATTTGTTACACTCTCCAAACTTGATCTCGTCTTCCATATTATGAATTACCGTGTGTGTGTGTGTGTGTGTGTGTGTGTGTGTGTGTGTGTGTGTGTGTGTGTGTGTGTGTGTGTGTGTGTGTTTGTGTGTATGTGTGTGTGTGTGTGTGTGTGTGTGTGTATGTGTGTGTGTGTATGTGTGTGTGTGTGTGTGTGTGTGTGTGTGTGTGTGTGTGTGTGTGTGTGTGTGTATGTGTGTGTGTGTGTGTGTGTGTGTGTGTGTGTGTGTGTGTGTGTGTGTGTGTGTGTGTGTGTACTCACCTAGTTGTGCTTGCGGGGGTTGAGCTCTGGCTCTTTGGTCCCGCCTCTCAACCGTCAATCAACTGGTGTACAGATTCCTGAGCCTATTGGGCTCTATCATATCTACATTTGAAACTGTGAATGGAGTCAGCCTCCACCACATCACTTCCTAATGCATTCCATTTGCTAACTACTCTGACACTGAAAAAGTTCTTTCTAACGTCTCTGTGGCTCATTTGGGTACTCAGCTTCCACCTGTGTCCCCTTGTTCGCGTCCCACCAGTGTTGAAAAGTTCGTCCTTGTTTACCCGGTCGATTCCCCTGAGGATTTTGTATGTGTGTGTGTGTGTGTGTGTGTGTGTGTGTGTGTGTGTGTGTGTGTATGTGTGTGTGTGTGTGTGTGTGTGTGTGTGTGTGTGTGTGTGTGTGTGTGTGTGTGTGTGTGTGTACTCACCTAGTTGTGCTTGCGAGGGTTGAGCTCTGGCTCTTTCGGCCCGCCTCTCAACTGTCAATCAACTGATTATTTTTCTTACTACCACTCATTCTTATATACATAATGCATGGCGAGTAGCTGACTACAGCTGACTACAGTATCCTAGTCAGTTACAAACAAAATTTGAGGGGATAGGTGTTTTTTTTTTATTTTTTATCAACGCATTTAGGTACATCTGCATTTGTGCAGCTGCCCTAGACTATATGATGGGGAATACAGTGTGTCACAAAGTTCCCTACAAATCCCCATCACACAGGATGGTTGGTCATACAGGGCCATGTGTTCAGTAGTCTGCACTGGCAGACTCTTGAGTGCATTATGAGGATATCATCAAGAACACGAGGGTGAATAAAGTAATTGCAAAGCTCCAGGTACCTCATGCCAACAGGTCTGAATGGTCTGATAAATGGGCATTCGGTGATGTAGTGTGGGAGATCATGCCGTAGTTCCTGCTCACAGAGTTTGCACCTGGAGTGCTCAGGATTGGGAGACCCGTCACCTGCAGCCACCTGCCACAGGTAACGGTAACCCAACCTGAGCCCGTCAACCACTGTGTCGCACAGTCTAGTGGACGTTTTGTGCTGTCCATAAACATAAGTTTCGGATCTGAACAAATCATAGCTTTTTATACTGGTGCTTTCAGGTCGTTGGGAGTCAGTAATTTCTCTCCTATCAGACCTGAGTGTTTGGAACAATATAGTTTTGACAGCAGAAATGGGGGATACCTAGATCTAATTCAACTTAATTGCAGCTAATTTGGCTGTAATATCTGTGTTATTATGATGGGTTACATTAATGTGTGATGGTATCCATACAAAGGAGATTCGAAACCCTTTACTCTTTGCATCAATTAGGTCATTTATAATTGGTAGTATGAGGTTCTTGCTGTCGATCTTCCAGGAGAAGTTTCGATTGCTTTAAGAGCAGACTTTGAATCACAAAATATTATTCCTTCCCCAATGTTTTTTAATGTACTGGTAGCTAGTTGTAATGCTGCTAGTTCTGCTTGTGTGGAGGTCAGCCAGTTGTTTAACCTGACACTGACAGTCTTTGTGCAAATATTATTTCTATAAAACCTACATGCTGCTGCAGTCCGTCCAGTAGAAGACTGGACTGAGCCATCGGTGTAGACACAGTGCTCACGAAATCTTAAATTCTCGATGGAGGAGGCAATTGTTTCAAGTGTGACAGCTTTGAGACGAGCAAGTTTCTCATTACCTTTCTTGGTGGTGGGTGTGCATGATACTTGAATAGTGGAATAGTTGCAGGAGAGAAAGGGGGAGGGGGTGAAGAGGGTCAGGAGGTGGATGTGGAGGGGGAAGGGGAGGAAGAGAGAGGAAGAGAGAGGAAGAGAGGAGAGGGTCGAGAGAGGTGGGGTACAGTTGAGAACGGGCTCAAATCCAGCCATTGAGCATCATGCAAGAGGAACAATGAACGGACGTACCAGATTAATAAGCACCAAGCACGCACACGCACGCACACTCGCTCGGTCGTACTCCTAAGAGCCCGGGTTAGATTCCCGGCCGAGGCAGGAACAAATTGGGTCTCTCTCTCTCTCTCTGAATTTGGCCTGGGTTGATATCAAATTTTATGGATACATCATTGTATTAAATCGTCGATGCCGGCGCCAGTTCTAAGGGCCAGCAGGGGGCATCAAAACCATATCAAGTGGTTTGGAGGAGCCAGTGCCCCATCTGCCAGGCCTCCTGGCTAGCAAGTCTGATCAACCAGGCTGTGAGTCGCCGCAGCTCCCAAACTTTGACCGCTTGATCAGGTATCCTCTGGAGGTGTTTATCAAGTTCAAGTGTGTTGATTTGATCACATACACATATATACACCCCTTACACAGCTTATGATAAATGATATCAATTCTTGCTGAAACTACTTAGGAAGCCCCCCCCCCCTTCACGAAAGACCTTGTTGAATCACCTTGAGGAATTAGTTATAGGAGGGAAGCAACTACAACTGATTCAACTGATTCCTGAGCAGAAATCTTAAACCCTTTCGAATAACCTTCTTAAAATAATAATAAAATACTATTTTCACAAACTTACAAATATATATGGGACAACCATAGAGAAAAGATGACAAACACGGATCAATCATACTGTTGCATCCCGCCGGTGCAACTCCCACAGCAAGCTGCAACACCTAGAGCCCCTCCCACAGCAAGCTGCAACAGTTAGAGCCCTCCCACAGCAAGCTGCAACAGTTAGAGCCCTCCCACAGCAAGCTGCAGCACCTAGAGCCCTCCCACAGCAAGCAACAACACCTAGAGCCCTCCCACAGCAAGCTGCAACACCTAGAGCCCCTCCCACAGCAAGCTGCAACACCTAGAGCCCTCCCACAGCAAGCAACAACACCTAGAGCCCTCCCACAGCAAGCTGCAACACCTAGAGCCCCTCCCACAGCAAGCTGCAACAGGTAGAACCCCTCCCACAGCAAGCTGCAACACCTAGAGCCCTCCCACAGCAAGCAACAACACCTAGAGCCCCTCCCACAGCAAGCTGCAACACCTAGAGCCCCTCCCACAGCAAGCTGCAACAGGTAGAGCCCCTCCCACAGCAAGCTGCAACAGGTAGAGCCCCTCCCACAGCAAGCTGCCACACCTAGAGCCCTCCCACAGCAAGCAACAACACCTAGAGCCCCTCCCACAGCAAGCTGCAACACCTAGAGCCCCTCCCACAGCAAGCTGCAACACCTAGAGCCCCTCCCACAGCAAGCTGCAACACCTAGAGCCCCTCCCACAGCAAGCTGCAACAGGTAGAGCCCCTCCCACAGCAAGCTGCAACAGGTAGAGCCCCTCCCACAGCAAGCTGCAACACCTAGAGCCCTCCCACAGCAAGCAACAACACCTAGAGCCCCTCCCACAGCAAGCTGCAACACCTAGAGCCCCTCCCACAGCAAGCTGCAACAGGTAGAGCCCCTCCCACAGCAAGCTACAACACCAAGAGCCCCTCCCACAGCAAGCTGCAACAGGTAGAGCCCTCCCACAGCAAGCTGCAACACCTAGAGCCCCTCCCACAGCAAGCAACAACACCTAGAGCCCCTCTCACAGCAAGCTGCAACACCTAGAGCCCCTCCCACAGCAAGCTGCAACACCTAGAGCCCTCCCACAGCAAGCTGCAACACCTAGAGCCCTCCCACAGCAAGCTGCAACAGTTAGAGCCCTCCCACAGCAAGCTGCAACAGTTAGAGCCCTTCCACAGCAAGCAACAACACCTAGAGCCCTCCCACAGCAAGCAACAACACCTAGAGCCCTCCCACAGCAAGCTGCAACAGCTTAGAGCCCTCCCACAGCAAGCTGCAACACCTAGAGCCCTCCCACAGCAAGCTGCAACAGTTAGAGCCCTCCCACAGCAAGCTGCAACAGTTAGAGCCCTTCCACAGCAAGCTGCAACACCTAGAGCCCTCCCACAGCAAGCAACAACACCTAGAGCCCTCCCACAGCAAGCTGCAACAGTTAGAGCCCTTCCACAGCAAGCTGCAACACCTAGAGCCCTTCCACAGCAAGCAACAACACCTAGAGCCCTCCCACAGCAAGCAACAACACCTAGAGCCCTCCCACAGCAAGCAACAACACCTAGAGCCCTCCCACAGCAAGCTGCAACACCTAGAGCCCTTCCACAGCAAGCAACAACACCTAGAGCCCTCCCACAGCAAGCAACAACACCTAGAGCCCTCCAACAGCAAGCTGCAACAGTTAGAGCCCTTCCACAGCAAGCTGCAACAGTTAGAGCCCTCCCACAGCAAGCAACAACACCTAGAGCCCTCCCACAGCAAGCAACAACACCTAGAGCCCTCCCACAGCAAGCTGCAACACCTAGAGCCCTCCCACAGCAAGCAACAACACCTAGAGCCCTCCCACAGCAAGCAACAACACCTAGAGCCCTCCCACAGCAAGCTGCAACAGTTAGAGCCCTTCCACAGCAAGCTGCAACAGTTACAGCCCTCCCACAGCAAGCAACAACACCTAGAGCCCTCTCACAGCAAGCTGCAACAGTTAGAGCCCTCCCACAGCAAGCAACAACACCTAGAGCCCTCCCACAGCAAGCTGCAACACCTAGAGCCCTCCCACAGCAAGCAACAACACCTAGAGCCCTCCCACAGCAAGCAACAACACCTAGAGCCCTCCCACAGCAAGCAACAACACCTAGAGCCCTCCCACAGCAAGCAACAACACCTAGAGCCCTCCCACAGCAAGCAACAACACCTAGAACCCTCCCACAGCAAGCAACAACACCTAGAGCCCTCCCACAGCAAGCAACAACACCTAGAGCCCTCCCACAGCAAGCAACAACACCTAGAGCCCTCCCACAGCAAGCTGCAACACCTAGAGCCCTTCCACAGCAAGCAACAACACCTAGAGCCCTCCCACAGCAAGCAACAACACCTAGAGCCCTCCAACAGCAAGCTGCAACAGTTAGAGCCCTTCCACAGCAAGCTGCAACAGTTAGAGCCCTCCCACAGCAAGCTACAACACCTAGAACCCTCCCACAGCAAGCAACAACACCTAGAGCCCTTCCACAGCAAGCTGCAACAGTTAGAGCCCTCCCACAGCAAGCTGCAACAGTTAGAGCCCTCCCACAGCAAGCTGCAACAGTTAGAGCCCTTCCACAGCAAGCTGCAACAGTTAGAGCCCTCCCACAGCAAGCAACAACACCTAGAACCCTCCCACAGCAAGCAACAACACCTAGAGCCCTCCCACAGCAAGCTGCAACAGTTAGAGCCCTCCCACAGCAAGCAACAACACCTAGAACCCTCCCACAGCAAGCAACAACACCTAGAGCCCTCCCACAGCAAGCTGCAACACCTAGCGCCCTCCCACAGCAAGCAACAACACCTAGAGCCCTCCCACAGCAAGCAACAACACCTAGAGCCCTCCCACAGCAAGCAACAACACCTAGAGCCCTTCCACAGCAAGCAACAACACCTAGAGCCCTCCCACAGCAAGCAACAACACCTAGAGCCCTCCCACAGCAAGCTGCAACACCTAGAGCCCTCCCACAGCAAGCAACAACACCTAGAGCCCTCCCACAGCAAGCAACAACACCTAGAGCCCTCCCACAGCAAGCTGCAACACCTAGAGCCCTTCCACAGCAAGCAACAACACCTAGAGCCCTCCCACAGCAAGCAACAACACCTAGAGCCCTCCAACAGCAAGCTGCAACAGTTAGAGCCCTTCCACAGCAAGCTGCAACAGTTAGAGCCCTCCCACAGCAAGCTACAACACCTAGAACCCTCCCACAGCAAGCAACAACACCTAGAGCCCTTCCACAGCAAGCTGCAACAGTTAGAGCCCTCCCACAGCAAGCTGCAACAGTTAGAGCCCTCCCACAGCAAGCTGCAACAGTTAGAGCCCTTCCACAGCAAGCTGCAGCAGTTAGAGCCCTCCCACAGCAAGCAACAACACCTAGAACCCTCCCACAGCAAGCAACAACACCTAGAGCCCTTCCACAGCAAGCTGCAACAGTTAGAGCCCTCCCACAGCAAGCAACAACACCTAGAGCCCTCCCACAGCAAGCAACAACACCTAGAGCCCTCCCACAGCAAGCTGCAACACCTAGAGCCCTCCCACAGCAAGCAACAACACCTAGAGCCCTCCCACAGCAAGCAACAACACCTAGAGCCCTCCCACAGCAAGCAACAACACCTAGAGCCCTCCCACAGCAAGCAACAACACCTAGAGCCCTCCCACAGCAAGCAACAACACCTAGAGCCCTCTCACAGCAAGCTGCAACAGTTAGAGCCCTCCCACAGCAAGCAACAACACCTAGAGCCCTCCCACAGCAAGCAACAA